GAGTTTTTCTAAAAAGAGCGATCAATATGGTAAATACTGGCCTCCTGCTAGACCAGGATTTTTTTTTAAGTCAGTAGAGGCCCCTATTGATTATATTAAAGCCAGGTATGATCCTAGGTACCGGCTACCCTTATTTCAAGCAGTCTTTCATCAATCTATTATTACCACTGATAGGTGGGAAATTTCTCATATGAAAATTGCTAATGCAATACAAAATAGAGAATTGCTAGAGCTATTATATGGCGTTCCCTCTATTTGGTCTCTAGATTTGCTAGATATCAATAAGTATAGTAAAAGGCTAAAGAAATTATACCAATTTTTCGCGCCCATTCACACAGTAATTGTGAGTGAAGAATTAAAAGAATTCAGATGGTTAGATGATAACCGCCAAGTGCAACAAACTGTTTTTGGTAATAAAATAAAACTTACTGCTAACTTCTCTGATAAAATGTATCACTCAATTAAACCCCATACTATAAAAGCGCTGTGGTTAGATAGTAACATCGAGCAAGAATATACCCCTTAAGTGCACTCAAATTTGATATGTACTCTAATTTGACTAATGTCTATTTATCGTAGATAGCGGAATCGACTACAAATACCGGGACGTCTCTATAAATTCTCCAGGTTCGGTTAAGGGTGTTATCCTGTGTTGCCGTGATAGTGCCTAACAAATATTGCAGATGCTTGAGGTTTTTCCAACATTTCTTTAAAACGACGTGCACCACCATCAACCACGAAATGCTCACTTGAATCATGAAAAGCACTAATAATGGATTTATTTGCTCGACGCGCTTTTGCAAGATATTGGTCCAACCAATTTAAACTTGAAATCACTTTGGCTATAGTATCTAATTCAACTGAATTGTCTATATTACTTTTCTTAATCTAACTGCTGTCTACTTACTCCATGCTTAGTTTTATTCCATTTAAATGGAATAAAAACAATTTCCCAGATAGCTTTATAGGCGGCTATAGTATGTAACAAGAAATAAAAGGGCCATAAAAAGAGGGCTATAGCATCTAACATTTTAAAATTACTAACTTTATTTTTCTTGATCCATAAAATAAACAAAGCACTGCCATAAAGATAAGCAAAAGCAAAGAAAGTATTAATTAACCATAAATAATGGATAATTGAGATATTATTAATTTTGATCATTATTATTAAAAATGGTAAGCAACAAAAGCTATAAGAAGAGAATCCTACAAAAATTAAAATTACTAGTATATGCGTGAGCTTAAATTTTTTATATTTATCTTTCTGGTGTAAAAATACTAAAAATGTTTGTAAGAATCCTTTTATCCAACGAGATCTTTGGTTGATCCAACTCATTATATCTATAGGTGACTCTTCATAGGTATAAGAATCTAGAATCCATACTTTATAATTAAATGATGAGAGCCTAATACCTAAATCTGCATCCTCAGTTACGTTGTAGGCATCCCAAAATCCCACTTTTTGTAATATATCTAATTTAAAATGGTTGCTTGTTCCTCCAAGTAAGACGGGTAAACTCATTAAGCTTAGTCCTGTTAGTAAATACTCAAACCATATACAATATTCTATATTGAACAGCTTAGTGAGTAAATTTTCATTTTCATTATAAAAAGTGAGTTTAGCTTGTAAACATACATATTCTTCCGGTAATCTATCAAACTCTATTACTGCTTTAAGTAACTGATCGAAGGCAGGGCGATCTTCTGCATCATATATTACCACATATTTACCTTTACAATATTGCATTGCATAATTTAAGGCTTTCGGTTTAGTCCTAGGTAAACTAAAAGGGACTTTGATTAAATGCATATACGAAGGCAAGAATACTAAAAATGTTTGTAAGAATCCTTTTATCCAACGAGATCTTTGGTTGATCCAACTCATTATATCTATAGGTGACTCTTCATAGGTATAAGAATCTAGAATCCATACTTTATAATTAAATGATGAGAGCCTAATACCTAAATCTGCATCCTCAGTTACGTTGTAGGCATCCCAAAATCCCACTTTTTGTAATATATCTAATTTAAAATGGTTGCTTGTTCCTCCAAGTAAGACGGGTAAACTCATTAAGCTTAGTCCTGTTAGTAAATACTCAAACCATATACAATATTCTATATTGAACAGCTTAGTGAGTAAATTTTCATTTTCATTATAAAAAGTGAGTTTAGCTTGTAAACATACATATTCTTCCGGTAATCTATCAAACTCTATTACTGCTTTAAGTAACTGATCGAAGGCAGGGCGATCTTCTGCATCATATATTACCACATATTTACCTTTACAATATTGCATTGCATAATTTAAGGCTTTCGGTTTAGTCCTAGGTAAACTAAAAGGGACTTTGATTAAATGCATATACGAAGGCAAGGTATATAAAATATTTTCGTGAACCATCGATAGATCATCGGATTCAACAATAATTTTAACATCTAATTTATTTTTAGGATAATCGAGGTTGGTAATATAATTAATGAGCGATTTTAGCTTATTAGCTTCTTTATACAAGGGAAGTAAAATAGTATAAATACGTAAATATTGAGCACAATAATTTAGAACATAGCTCTTTCCCAATATTAACTGGGGATAACACTTTGTTCGGAAAGAATCGATTTGACAAAACTGGCTGCTATTAGGGCAGTACTGTAACTTATCTGACTGAATACTTATTTTCTTTATTTGT